GTATCACAATCCCTGACCTGAAATTATACTATTAAGTTATTGTGATAAAATCCGCATGGACTGGCATAGAGAAAGACCTGAGGATCAGTGGGACAGATTAGAAAATGCAGACACAGCTGCAAACACTCAGCTACCTTATCTTTGATAAAGGGGCCAAACAGGCTCACTGGAAGAAAGATAGCCTCTTTAATAAATGATGCTAGAAAAACTGGTTTTCCACATGCTGAACGCTAAAACTAGATCCATGCTTATCACCATGCACAAAGCAATAGTCAAAATGGATGAAAGATTTAAATATTAAAACAGAAACACTAAATCTACTGGAGGAAAATGTAGATAGAAATCTTAAAGATATAGTTGTAGGCAGAAAGAGTTCATGAACAAAAATCAAACTGCACAAGAAATATTTCAAAGAATCAACAACTGGGATCTCACCTTTTTAAAATGTGCCTGCACTTCAAAGGAAATCTCCGACAAAGTAAAAAAGAAAGCCAACAAATTGGGGAAAAAATTATAGCCGACAAAGGCCTTTTTATCTAGAACATACAAAGAATTAAAAAAAAAATTAGGCCCCCAAATTGAAAGACCTAATCAAAAAACTGGCATCTGAGATGCATATATACTTTTCAGAGGAAGAAATACAAATGGCAAGTAAATATATGAAAAATGTGCAACATCATTGGTCATTCAAGAAATGCAAATTAAAACAACATTGAGATTCCATCTCACCCCAGAAAGAGTGGCTAACATTAAGAAGTCAGCCAATAACAAATGTTAGAGAGGCTGTGGAGAAAAAGGAACTCTTGGGCACTGTTGGGAGCACAGACTAGTACAACCACTATGGAAATTAGTGTGCAGATTCCTCCAAAAGCTAGGATTGGAGATCCCATTTAAGCCATATATTCCCTTTCTGGGTATTTTTACAGAAGGAATGAAAACCTCCTACCACAGTAATATGTGTGCACCCATATTTATAGCAGTGCAATTTGTCATAACTAAATCCTGGAAAGAACCCAGATGCCCATCAACTGAAGAATGGATAAGGAAGATGTGGTATTTTTATACAATAGAGTATTATTCAGCTATAAAACAGCATAAATATGAGTCTGTTGTCATAAATGGATGTAACTAGAGAACATACTCTTAAGTGAAATAAAACAGACCTACATGTACAAACATCGTATTGTCTCCTTACTGTGAGAACCTGAAAGATAAAAATGGAATCTGAAGGGTACAATAGGTACTTGGAAAACAGAATGAACTTATTGAAAAGGAATTGAGGACAAGGACATGAGAGGGAGTAGGGGAAAGAGATTTATGTATGTAAGCAGGATGGTTTGGACAACTCTACTCTGTATTTCTTCTGGTCTATGCAAAGAAGCAGTTAATGCTTTAGTTTCATCTTTTATCAATTGTACTTTTTCTCTTAATTTCTTATACATTTTTTTCTTCCAATTTCACAAGTATGTATGTGGTAATATGAATAAGTGATTATAAGACAGCACTACGTAGTACAACAAATACTATGAAATTCATATTACTTTGTTAAGTGAAATTCTGTATCACTTGTAATTTTTCTGTTTTAATTCCATTTGTATTCTCTTTTAAAATAAAAAATTAGGGCTGGCCAAATAGCTCAGAAGAGGGGTCTGCTGTGCTGGCCCCTCAACTGGGGCACGTTCAGATAGCAATTGAGACTGGCCATGGTGGTGCATGCCTGTAATCCCAGCATTTGGGAGGCCGTAAACAGGAGGATCACTATAAATCCGATTTATGCACTGAGACCTTATACACCTTATCCTTAAAAAAGAAAAATTAAAAGAAAATAAGTGAAAAAAGTTGATAAACTGATCACCTCTTAAAGACATCTCAGTAATGCCTAGGTTGTATAAAAGTAATATTCTGATTATCTGTGAAACATTCCTGGTATCACAATTATATATTATTTGATTTCAGTTATCATAGACTATTGGTCACTTTCAAAATGTGAGTGCATATCCTCTTACACGTAATCTCTGACTCAATAATTTCTTATACATTTATTTTAACACTCATCTATTAATCCCAATATTGGGTATATATATATATCCACAGATAATGAAATTAGCACAATGAAGTAATATCTGCACTCCTAATTTCATTACATCACTATTTGTAACCTTAAAGAGGTGAAATCTCTTGATGGAGAAAAAAATGTACTATATATACACAACAGAATATTATTAGTACTTAAAAAAAGGAGGAAATCCTATCATTTGAGATAACTTGGATCAAACTGCAAGATACTATAAGTAAAATAAGCCAGACAGAAAAATAAATACTGCATGATCTCATATGTCTACTCTAAAAAAGGTGAACTCATAAAAGCAGAGTTAAAATGATATCACAATTATATAATTTTTAATTTTAATTTCAATTATCAAAGAGTATTGGTCACTTTCAAAATATGATGTTGGTCAAGGGACACCTTATTTTAGTTATTAGCAATTACAAGACCTGTTGTACAGCATGGAGACTACAGTTAATTGTAATATATATCTGAAAACTGCTAAGTAGATTGTAAGCATTTAACCACCCTTAAAGTACAAAGGTAATGCATGCCATCATAATGTATACCAAAGCATGTTGTACATCATAAATAAGTAGAATGTTTACCTGTCAATTAAACAAAAATGAATTTAAAAAGTACACTGTGCTTCTTATATCATCATCTTTAGGAAATAATGTTTTACTCCATACTAACACAGGACTTTTAAAAATTTACCTTTAGGGGGCTGGAGAGATGGCTCAGTGGTCTAAAGCACCTACTTAGAACAAGCT